GGGCTGGACACCTCACCCCCCACGGCTGCTCACCAGCAGCACGAGGAGCACAGCGTGATGCACATCTCTGTGCTCATGGGGCAGAAGGGACAGGGGAGAGAGTCAGGCCCTGCTGTGGTGCTCAGCACCCCCTCAGGGGATGGAGTTTCCCATCAGGGTCTGAGTCCTGTGAGGAGAGGCTGAGGGAACTGTTTAGCCTGGGGAAAAAGAGGCCAGGAGTGACCTTCTCACTCTCTACAACTCCCTGAAAGGAGGTTGTAGCCAGGTGGGAGTTGGTCTCTTCTCCCAGGGAGCAAATGACAAGAGGACATGGCCTCAAGGTGCACCAGGGGAGGTTTAGGCTGGACAGCAGGAGGTATTTCTTCATGGAAAGGGTTGTTAAACTTTGGAATGTGCTGCCCAGGGAGGTGGTGGAGTCACCAGCCCTGGAGGTGCTGAAGGAACAACTGGATGTGGCACTTAGTGCTCTGGTCTAGTTACCAAGTTAATGCTGGGTCAGAGGTTGGACGTGATGATCTCAGAGATCTTTTCCAACCCCACAAACTGTAATTCTGTGATCTGCTCTTCTGAGCTTCTGGGCAGACAAGTGAGACCTGCTGCAGGTTTTCCACAGCAGCTGCTCTGTGATACCCTCAGAGGGGAGGGAATGGACACACTACGTTCACATCACACCACTCACAAGCTTCCCAGCCCTGGAGCAGACGTAGAGAAAAGTTGGGGCAGTATGGGGAGGAAGCTGAACACACAGAGCTTCTTTAAGCCTCAGCAAGTGGATGGCAAAACACCAAATTCAGCAGCTGATCTGCTCCAGTGACTCATCACTGCCAGGCTCAGTTCCTCAACTGCAGTTCAGTTCTTACTCAGGTCCATCAGCTCTCCTGAATCCTTGGTTCATCCTTTCACAAGAACCAGATTTACCTCCTAATGAGCTTATCTCAGTCTTCAGGGGCAGAGCAAAGCCCTGAGGACCAAACCCAGCAGGCCCCAAGGTGCTGCACATTGTGCAGGCTCTGGGAAGCTGAGCTCTCCTCCTCCTCGGAGAGATGGTGTGACTTCACTGCAGGGATCTTCCCCAGCCTTCTAAAGCCTCATGGAAAAGAAGAACAGACATTGATTCCTCTCCTCCTATTCTTGCAAGGCCAAAGTACCTCCTCAGTTTGCCAGCTTGGCCTTGCCACTGTGCTGGCAGTACCAGGTATCCTAGGCCACCCCCAGCTCCAGCATAGGGTGGCTCAGAGTGTCCCTTGTTCCAGGGCAGGAGACATCAGGCAGCTGCAGCTCCCTTGGGCACAGCTCAGTGTGGCTGTGTCCCCTGGGTGTGTAACACCCTCCCCTGGCACTGGCAGCTCCATGTGCCTCCCTTAGCACCAGGCAGGTCACCTCCTGCCAGGTGAAGGAGCAGGAAACGGCGCAGACAATCCAACCTCTCCAAAGTCATTTATAAAGAACATTTACATTCAGTAGTACAAAAAGACATATAACCTTCCCTCCTGAGCACAACACCTGCAGAGGGTGGGCCCATCCACCCAGGCCACAGCCTATGTGTGCCTCCAGCTCCCAGTTAGCTCACGGTCCCAGCGACAACGTCTGCAGCAAACATGGATTAAATGACAGTGCAGGAGCAGATTTCTCCTCCCAGACCACTTAACTGCTCTAGACTCACCCACAGCAGAACCACCCTCTGAAAAGACCCAGTTCCAGCTTAGAAACCCAAATATCCCAACGTGCTTTGACTGCAGATGAGCTCAGAGCTCTCAGTCCCATCTCAGGTGACCCGAGCGGATTGAAGAAAACCATCCTGTCTTTCCATGCTGTCAACTGCCTGTTGATTTTAACACGTGCACCATCTCCACCTTGGTCCATGTCCCACTGCCAGGCAGCACTGGGCACATGGAGGGAAGTGTCTGCAAGGCCTTGGCACTCCCTGCACTCATTAGTTATCTGCTAATACTTTGGTTTCAGAGATTAACTGACCTATCGAACAGAAATTCATGTCAGACTCATTGAACTCTTGTAAGGGATTGCAGAATCCCAACTCTAAGGCTACACAGGGTACAAGATGTGACACCTAAACAAAGTGGATCAGCACTGCATCATGACCTCATGGAGCTCTGCTCTGCCCCTGCTGCTCCTGCACACCCAGGCACAGGCCCTGCAGCCTGCAGGGCAC